TGATTATTTTGATACTTACTCACCTGTTACTAAAATTACATCTATAAGGATGCTAATTGCCATAGCAGCGGTGTATAAGCTTGAAATCCATCAAATGGATGTTAAGACGGCCTTCTTAAACGGGGATTTGGAAGAAGAAATATATTTGGAACAACCCGAAGGGTTCATTGTTCCAAGTCAAGAGAAGAAAGTATGTCGGCTTATCAAGTCACTCTATGGATTGAAACAAGCACCGAAACAATGGCATGCTAAATTCGACCAAGTCATGTTGTCGAATGGTTTCAAGATCAATGAGTGTGATAAATGTGTATATGTTAAGAACACTCATAATGGTTTTGCCATTTTGTGCTTATATGTAGACGACATGCTTATAATGGGCAGCGATAGTGAGGTTGTTAAGGCAACCAAACGCATGCTCACAAGTAAATTTGATATGAAAGATATGGGGATTGCAGATGTTATTTTAGGAGTTAAAATCCATAAAACATATGGAGGATTAGCTCTATCACAATCCCATTATATTGAGACGATTCTTGGAAAGTGCAAGAATCTAGATATTGTACCGGTAAAGACTCCGATAGATGTTAATTTACATCTTTCGAAGAATACTGGTGAAAGTAAGGCTCAAAATGAGTATGCTAGTATACTAGGCAGTTTAATGTATGTCATGAAGCTGTACTAGGCCGGACATAGCTTGTGCGGTTAGCAAGCTAAGTCGATTCTGATTAGTCCAAATGAAAATCATTGGAAAGCAATGAAACGTTTATTGGGCTACTTAAAGCATACTCAAGATTACGCTTTGCATTACACAGAATATCCAGCGGTACTTGAAGGATACTGTGATGCAAATTGGATAACCGGCACTAAAGACACAAAATCGACAAGTGGATATGTATTCACAATTGGGGGAGCGGCAGTGTCTTGGAAATCATCCAAACAAACTTGTATTGCTAGATCCACTATGGAATCAGAATTTATTGCTTTGGATAAAGCCGGTGAAGAAGCAGAGTGGCTTCGAAATTTCTTGGAAGACATTCCTAATTGGCCTAAACCAGTGCCCGCTGTTTGTATACATTGTGACAGTCAAGCGGCAATAGGAAGGGCAAGGAATGTCATGTATAACGGTAAGTCTCGACACATACGTCGAAGACATGACACAGTAAGACAACTTCTTTCTAGTGGAATTATCACCGTTGACTATGTGAAGTCAAAAGATAATATTGCGGATCCATTGACAAAAGGCCTAACTAGAGATATGGTTGCAAAAACATCAAGGGGAATGGGTTTAAGGCCTATAAACAAGTCATCATAGCGGAAACCCTACCTAGTTGATTGGAGATCCCAAGATCTAGGTTCAAAGGGACAACTAAGTTATGAAGACGAGTGTAGAAATCTTGTCAAATTTTTACTCATTCCCGGATGAAGACAGTACTAATATGTGAAGGTTAAGCAAAAAGCTTTTAATGATTCTAAATTGAGTATGTGATATACTATATGTTCAGAAATCACCTATGTGAGTGTGAAGTGAGGGCCGCTTCTGTGAGAATTGAAAAGGCAGAATTCTCTAAAACACTCATGAGACCAGGCGGTGTTCATGGCCAAAACGAACACAATAGTGAGAACCAATTTTGTTCGAGAAAAAAATTGTGTGATTTCTATTGTCTAGGCTTACACCAAAGGTCGACAGTTCAAAGACATCAAGTCTACTGATTGACTGAGTAAGTCCGATAGGTTTCACTAAGGAAAGTTCAAAGTCTCAGACTACTTATCCTGATGCAACGTTTTCTCATGGAATAATCGCACCTTGCATCTCATGCATACACGCAGAGTCATGATATCTGAACTTCTCATTCATGTGGGGGATTGTTGGGATTTTGGCACAAAATACCATAGAATTGAATGAGAAGTGTGTGGTTGAAAGTGTCCCACATAGGGTGAAGAGAGATGGGAGATGGGTTCAAATAGTTGAGCCTCACAAATGGGTTTGGGCCCCAAGGGGTACCCCACTTTTGTGGAAGAGAGAGGACCTACGTCAAGCTAGGTCGGTCCACCCCCCGCGCGCGCGCGCCGCCGCCGCCGTCCGTCCGGCCGGCTCGGTTCGGTTCCGGGTCCACTCTCTATCGGTTTTTTATTTTTTTATTTTTTTTATTTATTTTTGGACAAACAAACATGTCTGTTCGTGAGGTTCGGTTCGCCCGAACGAAAACCGAAGCCCTTCGCGCCTGTTCACGAACCAAACCTGTTTAAGGCTTGGCTCGTGACTGTTCACATGACCGAACGAAATTGTTCGGTTGGTGACTCTTCGGTTTCATCCTTCTATATCCGAAATTCCTTGGTGACTATTCATTCACACATGACCGAACGAAAGACTCTTGGCATTTTCATATTTTCACGGCATTCTGCTGCACTCTTATTCTTCATCGTTGTCATCTTTTGTGCGATTATTCTGCGAACTTGCGTTCGAAGATTTCCTTTGAAGAAGTACCGCTTCATAGGAAAGGCGATCCGTTCTATCCTGGGAGGCAATTGTTCAACGACTTTTGGGTACCGGTAGAGGGGACAAATTGTCTTAAGGACACAACGTGAATTCGTTGGGCTCGGATCAATCGTCAAATTCGGATCACTCATTTCAGGTTTGTCAAACAACTTTACTTTATATGCACATACAAACACGTGAATAGTGAACAACACAGATAACAATGAGTTGCATCGCTTTCCAAGAGCATGAGTTGTCAAGAGGGCCATGGATCGATCAAAACAATTCTTTCTCCACTGTTATGTTGCAAAAGATCCAAGAACATAAAGACACCTTTGCAAGAATATCAAATAAAAATGGATATATTTGACTAACGTTGTAATGAGTATCGTACCGTCCGATGAAAAGTAAACTTTCCTTTTCTCATTGCCATCATGATAAATTTAATTAACTTGCGAATTACATGACATGACATCACAAAGTGTCCGAGTGCACATTCATTTGCAACCCCACCAGTGACACTGAAAGATAACCAAGTCTTCTAGACCTACATGACATCGGTACAAAAGCGATGTTAAGTAACTCTACCATCGATGAGTCTCTGATAGCAAAAATGCTTGTGGATGATCAAAATAATCGATGACTATAGTACGGATGTTGATATACGATGACGATTGATTGACGATTGATACTTAGATAAATATAGTAGTGTTGAAGGCAGAAGCCGAAGACAATAGAGATCTTGGTTAATGGTTAGATCCAGCGACTGTAAAGGCCAACCATTGTGAAAATGTGTCATGAGTTCGGCTAGGTCCGAAGGAGGATGAAGATGCATGCGTGATTGTACCACTAGAGTTTGATATGAAGGAATTAGCTTTTTATTGCTACACCGACGGAGGATTCAAATGGATTCTCAAAGATAGTAAGCTGGCAACTTGGCAAGTTGACCGGTATATAGAAAGCGACATGTTGTTGAAAGATCTGGTTAAATGATATTCCCGCTACCTAGCAAAAGAGATGGAACAATCCGTCGACGCTGTGTATAGCTGACATTGATGAATCCCCTTTAAAAGAAGACAATAAAGCAATCGATGCTGAAGATGTACTGATGAGATCGACATTGGTGACGAGGATCAACATCGACCAATCTACATTAGCACATTGCCAAATGGGGAAAATTGCCTAAAAAGTCCTAAATCTATTGCACTTTTGCCAATTTAGTCTTAAACTTTTAAGTTTGTCAATTCAGTCCTAAAGTTTTTCATTTCTTGCCAATTAAGTCCATTTGGTCAATTTAACCGGCAGGCGCTGACATGGCCACCAGCCTGCGCCGGATGTCCTGCCAATGCTGACGTGGCAATTTTTAAATATTTTTTTTAGAATTTTTAAATATTTTTTTCTTTCTACCCTTTTTCCCTCTGGCCGGTTCGGCGACCGGCCAAAGGCACGGGCCGATGAGGTCGACCTTGCCGACCTCTAGCGAAGCTCACCCCCGCCGGCCACTGGCGAGGGCGAGCCTCGCCCGCCGTTGCCAGGCTGACCTCGCCCAGCCATGGCAAGGTCGACTTGCGACGGTGTTGGTCGACCTTACCTTGGCTGGGCGAGGCTCGACCTTGCTGGATTTGGGCGAGGCCGGCCAGTGCTGTCGCAAGTCGGCCTCGCCATGGCTGGGCGAGGTTCGACCTCGCCCAGATTCAGCAAGGTCAAACCTCGCCCAGCAAAGGCGAGGCCGACCTCGCTGTCGCTCCCAGCGGCTGGCAAGGCTTGCCCGCGCCAGTGGCTGGCGGGGGTGAGCTTCGCTAGAGGCCGGTGAGGTTGACCTCGTCGGCCCGCGCCTCTGGCCGGTCGCCGGACCGGCCAAAGGGAAGAAGGGCAAAAAAAAAAAAAAGCAAGAAAAGAAAGAAAAAAAATAAACATTTAAAATTTACCACGTCAACGTTGGCCGGACGGCCAGCCAAAATTGCCAGGATGAACTCAATTAGCAAGGAGTGAAAAGATTTATGACTGAATTGATAAAAGTGCAATAGGTTTAGGATTTTTTGGATAATTTTTCCTTGCTAAATGAAAACTTCAAATCTAGGTTGGTCGATATATTAAAAAAGTATAAAGGTTGTTTCGTGTGAGATTATCATGAGATGTTAAATTTAGAAAGGAATATCGTCAAGTACAAGTTGCCGATTAAGAAGGGAATCAAAACCCTAACGTCATAAGTCATACGGTCCTGTTAGGTTTTTGTCACATTAATGAACAGAGAATCTTCCAGTGTTCCAGGGTGGCTTTTTTCAGTCAAATTGCCAATCGTTGATGGCGAAAGGCATGATGTAGAGCTAGAAAACAAAGCCAGGACCCAATAGGATCGTCATCAAACAAAGGACGGAATCAGTTCTCTTCATATCTACCAGTCGAGCCAGACGTGATATCAAACCAGACCCGCTCATGGAAACCTACCGATCATGCGTCAAGGCCATGCATGTTAAGATTGACTTGAGTATGATGTTGAGATTTAGTGCAGTATGACTTGGAGGGCACTATTTTAGGAATATCAAAATGAAGTGAAAAAGCAGAGATTTTTTACCTTGCGCATTGGAGCGTGGTGTGGCTCATATCTCCTATTTAAGTGGAACGTCTCTGGGCACTTTTTGTGTGATAAGCTCTGGTGTGCGCTCTCCAAAGGCAAAGACCAGAAACCAAGACAAAGAGAAAGAATAGACATGGGGAGTGAAATTCCAAGAGTCGAGGAGAGCGGCCGAACCTTGATCATCGGCTCGAGCGGGTTTATTGGGCGGTTCGTGGCGGAGGCAAGCCTGGCGTCCGGTTGGCCCACGTACCTTCTGGTCCGGGGTGGTCGCGTGAGCTCCTGCAAGGCCAAAGCCAATGCTATCATGTCTCTACAAGACAAAGGAGCCATCATACTTCAAGTAAAATTTTGCTTCACACATAAGTTTCCTAAGAGTTTTTCCGCTGTTTATGTGTTTTGTAATGATGGGATTCTTTTTCAGGGATCATCAAATGACAAAGCGACGATGGAGAAGATATTGAAGGAACACAGGATTGAGATTGTGATATCAGCAGTTGGTGGGGAAAGCATTTTAGAGCAACTCGTTCTTGTTGAGGCCATGAAATCAGTCGGCACTATTAAGGTGTTTTCGTTGTTACTTATTTTATTTTTATGGGATGATCACACCAAAAATCTTAAAAGTTATTGCAAAAGTGCAATCAATTCTAAAATTTCCAATAATGCAATGAAATTCTAAAATTTGTCAAATCGGTGAAATCATTTAGGATTTAATTTCAATTAGAAAGTTTTACTACTCGTTACTAATTCGGTGCACCAGAATTTTGATTTCTTGTCGATTTAGAGTCACGGATATATGGCCTAAGTGCAACTGCTGAAAAAGCCTTTCATTTTAGTACAACATCATATTTTGTAAATTATCATGAACCAACTTATAATCAAGTTGTTTCTAGCAAAAAAAAAACTTATAATCAAGTTGGTAATAGATGGGCGATTAAAATGTATTTTTCGAAGTTCATGATACGCCGTGATTGATCGAGTTGGTAATTGACAGGATATGAGCACAGTTATTGATTAAGATGATAATTCACGCTTAGCACAATCTCTTAGCTTATGAAGAAAAATGAAAGAATATTGAAGATTTTGCACTATTGTGTGGGCCATAGATCTTTCCATAATTCAACTTTGTCCGCTTTGCTTGTTGTTTTGTACACATCCGAAGATCACACGGTTGTGTAGCATACATATATATAAGCATTAATACTTTTTTGGCCAGATATAGAAGCTTAGAATCCACTTACTTTTGTGACTTTCGTGATATTTTTAGTAATGTTTTCACATTGTATTTATCACGTAATAAGAACAATTATTGAAATCATATTCAATTGCTGAAACATCAAATTGCCCTAGAAAATTACTCAGTGATGAGTTCTGATGAGTAAGTTATTATTGAGCAGAGGTATGTGCCGTCTGAATTCGGGCACGACATAGACCGAGCAGACCCAGTGGAACCGGGGTTAGCCATGTACGAGAAGAAGAGGAAAGTGAGGAGGCTGATCGAAGGCTCGGGTGTGCCCTACACCTACATTTGTTGCAACTCGATTGCGGCCTGGCCTTACCACGACAACACCCATCCTGCCGACGTTCTCCCGCCGTTGGACCGCTTCCACATCTACGGCGACGGCACCGTCAAAGGTACGTGCACTCGTCGCTTGAAAATATTACGTTATGTGTGAGGTTTACATAATCGGGTGACGTACTCAAATATATCATATGATCGTATTTAGGTCGCACTTGAAACCGTTAATAACATGCATGCGAAATATTTGATATGTAATTCAACAACGAGATTGGAGAAATGATAAGCAAAATATTAGTGGCATTAGTTGGTAATATATTATTGTATAAGTATAGTGAATAGCATGGAACTATTTTGTCGGTAGGATTCTTAGGGGGTTTGATTTGGAGTCGAATCCATTGAGAATGACCAGCGGGCCTTGCTTGTTGTCTTGTTGAGTGAGTAAACAAGTGGTGAGCAAACGAATCATTCAGCCTCTTTCCGCAAGATGAAGATGCACTCATGCATGTCTTCAAAGAGAGCTACCTTAAAAGTCAATGATCAACCTCAATTTCTTTATATCATGTCGTGACAACTTTCGAATGTTAGAAAGGTTAAAAAAAACGATTAAAGAACGAGGGACCTGATCTCATATCACGCCGCACAATAAATTCTCGACCCTTTATTTGATGGGGAGATTACACGTTCAGATTAAATGCATTAGTCTCGTATACAGAAACGAGGTGATGTCTGAACAAATGTCAAGATGGGGAGTGTCTTTTGTCGGACTCGAAAAATGGATCCGATCCAACGAATGAATCTGATCATGTCCAAAGGACAAATGAGAGACCTTTCAAACTCCGTACTCACTACTCAGCGATTTTTTTTTTTATCGTACTCAGTGATAAACCAGTCCATAGTCAGCTTCTTCTCGTGTAACCTTACGTTCAATTCTGAGGTTAGGTGAGCCAACCGATCTACAATCATGTGCTTCCCAAGCTTTGGTAGTTCCGTGAAGTAAACTGTCTGACAAGTAAAGGAATTAAAAAATCAGAACATACACGGTGAAAGTAAAGAAAACTTCACATAAGCGATATTATATACTGTTAAGGCCAAGCTGTTTGATCTTGATTATTAATTTCAAAGTGGAAATCGCACTTATATTGTTTAGCTGTCTTCCTTTGTTTTTTGGAAAAATTATCTAAAAAGTCATAAACTTATTGTACGGCAGTAAGTTCATCCTAAAATCTTTCAATTGTGTCAATTTAAGTCTAAATATTTTGATAATTTATCAATTTAGCTCTAAGTCTTTCAATTTTGCTAGTTTAGTCTTAACCCTTTTGACAATTTTCCATTCAAGTCCATCAGACTAATTTTAGCTGAAAATCGCTGATGCGGCGCTCTAGTCAGTCGACCGTCCTACGTGGCACGGCCGTGCACCGACATAAATAATTTTTTACATTTTATATATTTTTTGTGATTTTTTTAATTTTCTTTTCATTCTTTTTTTTCTTTCCTTCTCCCTCTAGTCGGTTGCTAGCCATCGCCGAGGCTCGGTGATTGACCAGAGGCAAAAGGAAAGAAAAAAAGAAAGAAAAGAAAAGAAAAAATAAATATATATAAAATTCATAAAAATGCTAAAAAGTTATCCACCTCAGCACTGGCTGTGCCACATAGGATGGCCGGCGTTCATGTAAGAGATTTTTAGCTAAAATTGATTGGAAGGACTAAATAGGAAAATCATTAAAAGGTTTAGAACTAAATTGACATATCATCAAAATGTTTAAAAATAAATTGGCACAATTGAAAATTTTAAGATCAAATTTGGCAAATCATCAAAAGGTTTAAAACTAAATTGGCACAATTGAAAGGTTTATAACTTAATTGGATGCCGTATAATATGTTTATGACTTTTTAGACAATTTCTCCCCTTTTTTATTTATTTGAGACTTGCTCACTAATAATTCTTATTTGAAACCAAGCTGTTTGGTTGGACTTGGTTTGAGAAGTAGATAGAGACTTCTCTAGAAGCTATCCTGCTTATCATTTCTAAAGTGGAACCGCTTGGTTGGACTTGGGTTAAGAAGCTTAGTAAATAATTCTTTCACTCTAAGATTTTCAACCCTGCAAGAGTTAATGTCGGAGATCGGGGAAAGTAGGTAAGCAAGCATCTAGCACGTGAATCGAAAAGTCCTTTTGGATTGATATTTGCTGCACTTCAAAAAGAGTTTGTGTAATCTGTGTTAGATACGTACACATGCTATGTGTCAAGTTAGATTCAATAAAATTGTTATTAAACTCCTTCTCAAGCACTTTGTTAAGTGATACTTAGTTGAGTATTAATCTTTTTCCTGTAGATAATTCTCATGGTTGTCTAAATTTTCGAGCTGGATGTGATTTCGGATGATCAATTCCGATGAGACTTGCTCCTAATGCTCTGCCCCTCTGTTCATGCAGCTTATTTCGTGGCGGGCAGCGACATAGGGAAGTTCACTATAAAATGTCTTGACGATGATCGGACCCTGAATAAGACGGTCCATTTTCAACCTCCCACAAATCTCCTGAGCATCAATGAGCTTGCATCTTTGTGGGAGGAGAAAATAGGGCTCAAGCTCCCTAGAGTTACCGTAACTGAAGATGACCTTCTTTTTGCTGCCCAAGGTGCATCAAATAATCTATCCCTTTAACATTAACTTTGTATAGTTTGATTTGCTTGAACTAATGAAAATTTTGAATTGTCTTTTCGTAGAAATGGTGATCCCACGAAGTGTCGTCGCCGCGCTAACCCATGACATATTCATAAAGGGATGCCAAGTCAATTACTCTTTGGACAAGCCGACTGATGTTGAAGTGACCTCTCTGTATCCCGACATGACTTTCAAGACGGTCGATGAATGTTTCGGTGATTTTGCCAAGAAGATTGTGGATGTGCCTAAGACAGTCGAGGATTCAGGATATAAAGTCGGCATCATGAAGCCCAAGTCAAAGCCGGAAGCTTTGGTTTTGACTGCTTAAAAAAGAGTTGTGCTGTCCAAGTTTTACTGTGATTGCGTCTTCATTATAATGATTTAATTGATCTTGCATTCTTCATGTTCAGTTCTGATCATGTTCCTTGTATCCCCCAAGATGATATTGGTTGGTGAGACTTAACTCATGTTCTCGAGAAAGACTTACCATGGAAATTCATCCCTTCGAAATAAGATCATTGTCCATTACTTAGAAGTGGTATATGTACTCATGCATACCTTCCGAAATATAAGTTGAGCAACAATTTTTTTGTCAATCTGTTGCCATTTACAACTTGAATGCCATCATATTATGAAGGTAAAGTAAAAGTGTTTTTTGTTCTTAGTGTCGTGCATACCATTCCGAATGAATGTGTAGTTTTACCTTTTCTTCGCTTTAGGTCTAAATTTCAAAAGATCTTGACAATCTTCACTTATTCTAATCATCATCCTCAGTTGGATTATCGACCAATTCATGTTCGTACGTGATGAAAAGATATACAGACTTACTCATTGAAATCGAAATAAACCATTTTGTGAAATCAAACTACAGCTGTGAGTTGGACCATATACTATATGTGTGAAACTAGTGAGATTATTCGTAATTCTGGTAAACAATAGTTCACTTGAAATCTTAGGCAGGGCAGGAACGTAGCCTGTGTAATTGATCAAGGTCAAAGATATTTCACGCATGTGAATGTCACAAGTTAGTTGATTTAGCGTTCCCTTACCCGTGTGGCCTTAATAATTTTTTTTCAAGTTAGCCTTACTTGCTCACACTCACAAGGATTGTGGAGAGAGAAAATCTAGAGAGGGAAGTTCTGGATTTTGTATTATTTGTGAGATGATCCAAATGAGGGAGATGAGACCCCTGTATATACATGTACTCCTCATATTACAACCGTAGATCTCTCCTCAATCTAATGGTGGAGATTCCTTCTTCCCATCTACCAACTAATTGCTTTTATTACAGGAAGAGTACATTTACCATATCGCCAGCCCCTAAGATAATTCTAGAATACATAAGAAAACCCTGAGACTTAGAAGCTTTGAGGTTCACCTTGTGATTCACGATCCTTCGTGCAGAAAACCTTTGGACCATGACATTCTCCCCCACCTAATATGGTGACGCTGTCGTTGTATCTTTGGCATAGAATGCATCAATTTGCTTCTGAAATTGCTAAGAGCTTATGCGGGTTCCCAAATAGCTTCGCTCTCTGGAGGACCTTTTCATCGGATAAAATACTCACACCTGGGTGCAAAATACCATTTATGTATGACTTGATCCACCATTATCAAGTTGACGTCTCGATAATATGAGGTTTACACCCCCAAGAGGTGTTTATTGCAACTCTCGTCGATTCGGGTCTTCTTCGTCTACATGAAAAAAGGTTTAAGTATACTCACATGGAACACCGGATGTGCTTTCAGTTTTGGCGGGAGTTCCAACTTGTATACCACCTCCCAACTCGCTACAACACTTGGAATGGCTCTTCATTGCAATGAATCAACCCTTTGTACACGACCTGATATCGAAGAACCAAGTGTAGCTTTGCCAGAACCATGTCCTCGACTTGCTATTCCGCGTGTTGTCACTTCTTATCAACTCATTTCTTCAGGTGTTTTGAGGTCTTGTATAAACAAGTCCGTGCTAAGTCCGCGCCAAGTCCGCTTGCTCATGCCACTCCTTGGTGACCTTGTAAGTAGATGGGCTATTCCCCCGATAGCTCGTGACAACCGTACTCGAAGTGAGGGGTTATTGCCCCGGCACGATCTCGAAAGGACTTTGGCCAGTGAACTCGCTCCTCTACATGTTACAGGATAATTGGACTACATCGATCTGCTTTGCCTAATTCGCTTGCGTTTTGTTCACACAGTATCGGAGGTACAACTCCAAGAGTGCATTTAACCTTCCGTCTAACCGTCGATTTGGGGATGCAGGCTCGTGGAAAAGTTGAGATCCGACCCCAGCAGCTTGAAGAGTTCGATCCAAAATCACCTAGTGAATCGAGGATCGCGATCGCTCACAATCATTTGTGGTACGCCTCAATACTTGACGACGTACTTCATAAATAGTTTGGCCGCCTCCTCGGTTGGGTTATCCTTTGTAGCTAGCACAAACGTCGCATACTTAAAGAATTGATCCACCACAAACCCTTTGGATTTTGGCAAGTTCACAATGACGTCCATGGAGACACTCTCCCATGGACACTCCAGGATAGGAAGTGGCTCAAGAAGCCCTGCCGGCGACCATTGTTCTAGCTTGTCTTGTTGGCACACATAAGCTTCCACGTCGTCACGCAGGTGCGGCCAGAAATACCAATCCTCCACAAGCACCAAAGTGTGGTGGATCGCCGGATGGCCCACCCACTTAGAATCGCGACACTTGCGTAGCTCTTCCTTTCTTAGCTTCCCATAGAGAGGGGTATGCAACCATCATCCCTTGGTGTAGAGTAAGTCACCCTTACACCAAAAATGCCAAGTCTTGCCCAATCGAGTATAATCCATGAGAGCCTTAGTGGTTGGGTTGTGATTTAGCTCCTCTTTGATACTCTCGGTCCATGGGCACTTTGGTTGTTTGATAGACACCAGCTCCATCTATCGATTAAGTGCGTCGGCCACGGAGTTCGCCCTCCGAGGCTTATACTCTAGCTCAAATTCGCAAGGAAGTCTTGCCAACGAGATTGCTTTTAACTTAGCTTCTTTTACGTCTAGAAGTAGCTCGTGGCCATGTTGTTCGTCCTTACGACGAACCGTGATCCTAAGAGATAGTGCCTCCACGTACGAAGATAATGTACCACCACAGTTATTTCCTTCTCCTGGACCGTGTATCACTGCTCAGTCTCATTCAGCTTCCTTGATTCAAATGCCATCAAGTGTGTTTCTTTCATAAGAACACCGCCAATAGCATAATTTGAGGCATCAATTTCTACCTCATAGGGTTTGGTGTGATCAAGCAGCACGAGCACCAATTCCTTTGTCATCGCCTGCTTCAGCCGATCAAACCTCTTCTAACATCGATCCGCCCACTCACATGGCTTCTCCTTCTTTAGCATGTCCGTGAGTGGCACGGTGATGCTTGAATAGTTCCGGATGAACCGTCGATAATAATTGGTGAGACCGAGGAACAATCTCAGCTCCATTACCCTCGTCAGCGATTCCCAATCCACGATGGCCTAGATCTTGACCGAGTCCATGTGCACTCGTCCACCCCCAACGATATGCCCCAAGAATGGCACTTTCCTTTGTGCAAAGGCACATTTCTCTTTATTCACATACAGGTCATTCTCCCGTATGACTTGGAAGACCTGTCTAAGATGCTCGATATGCTCATCGAACGTCCAACTATATACCACAATATCATCTAGGTAAATCATAGCAAATATATCAAGCAATCGGTCGAGTACCTTATTCATTAGGATGCAAAATGTGGCCGGAGCATTGTTCAGGCCAAAAGGCATGACGGGAAACTTGTATGAGCCGTATCGTGTTACACATGCGGTCTTTGGCTCATCTCCTTTGGCAATCCTAACCTAGTAGTAACTCGATTGTAAGTCTAACTTCGTGAATCATTGTGCTCCACCAAGCTGGTCGAACAAATCAGCAATGAGTGGGATATACTTGTTCATAATCGTCAATTTATTCAACGCCCGGTAATCGATACACATACAGAGTGAAACGTCGTGCTTCTTTTGGAACAGGACCGAAACACCAAACAGATCCTTTGATGGTTGGATGTAACCATCGTCAAGCAACTCCTTGAGTTGTCTTTGCAATTCCTTCAATTCAAGGGGCGCTGTGCAGTAGGATGCCATGGCAGGTGGTCGAGCATCATGCACTTGCTCGATCCGATGTTCCACCTCTCTCTTAGGCGGTAGCTTCTTTGGTAGTTTGGGAGATATTGCGTCCTTGAACGAGTTGAGGACTTGGGCTACCTTCATTGGAACCATTTCTTTGTCTCCTTAAGATCCTCGTTCTTTAGAGAGGGCAAGAAGGCTACCTCCCCTTTCTTTACTCCCTTGGAGACTTGTGCCGTCGAAAGCCTCCATCAGTCACAACTCGAATCTTACTTAAACGAGACCACACATTGACCACGTGTGTCCAAGATGCAAATGCAGTCGATGAATGGGACAATGAAAGCATATATTCTATCAAGGAAACCCAAACCAATAACAAGGTCATAGTCATCGAGTGGAATTTCCTCGAGAGTCTCCTTGCTCCTCCATTACTCGATGTGAACTTCCACATCCTTAGCCATGTTGCACGTCGAGACCTCCTGGGAATTCACTATTTTGAGCAACCCTGCTCCTTTCCAGAAGGTTGAGTTTCTTTGCGGCTTCTTCTGAGATGAAGAAATCGGACACACCGGTATCCACGAGGGCACTTATCGTGGTTCCCCTGATCGTCACATCCGCGAACAGGAGTCCCTTGGGCTTATTCCCTTTCTTTGATTTGATAGAACTCGGGATCTACAGCGAGCCTAGCCGTGTCTCTTCTTTCTCTTCCTTGTGAGCCTTGACAAGTGTCGCAAGCTTTCCTCGTGTTGGGTAATCATGAGCCATGTGCGCCCCATCACATCGAAAGCACTTGAAAAAAAAGCGTCCCTTCTTTTGGCCTCCATTGCTCAACTCCGGCTTTGCCTTCAGTGGGGCCACGAGCGATTTGTTTTCACTTGGGCGGTGTAACTTGCTACGATCTCCCCCACCAGTGCCTTTAGTTTCGGTCAGGAGTCCGACTTATCTTCAAAGTTCCCCTATACTCCATGAGGGTCTCAGCCATGGACAGGGCTGTTGAGAGGTCCCTCGCGTTATGCCGCTTTAGCTCCTGCTTTACCATGGCTTGAGATCACCCATGAATTGATAATAAGTCTCTGCATCGTTCATGGGGGATTTGCAGCAGCAACTTCAAGAACTTCTTCACATACTCTTGGACTCCACCTCTTTGCTCTAGGTGACGGAGTTCATCCCAGGTTTCTTTCTTCACATAGTTGGGGTAATACTGTCGTTGAAACTCCTCGATGAACGTCTCCCAAGTTGTGATGGGTTCGCTGCTACTTTCATCGCTCCTGTTGCTCGGAAGTATTGCTCCATGTACCGCATGAAATTACTCACGTCTTTAGCCACCCTTGAGTCCTTGAACTCTTTCGTCTTAGGAGTGTCTACTCGAGGATCAAGTTGCACAGTGATCACCCCCCCTGCCCCCTGGTTCACATGTGCG